TGGGAGGGTGAGGTAGGAGGATAGTTTGAGAGCCCAGGAGATCAAGGCTGCTGAGAGCCATGATCTCACCACTATCTTTGGCCTGGGTGCCAGTATGAGACCCTATCTCGGGGGAAAAAAAAAAAAAATTATTCCTAGTAAATGATTTTTAGTTATGAAGTAGAAAAGTGTCTTCTAACTCAATGCTTTCAAGAAATTCCCTAAATTAATTGAACATTAAAAAAAAGGGATGTAAGTTCCATGAAGGTAGATGCCTTATGTCTGTTTTGTCAACATCTGTGTCCTTAATATCTAGAATAGCGCCTGACTTATATATAGTAAGTGCTTAATAACTATTTGTTGAGTGAATGCAAAAGGGCCAATGGCCCTTAAAAGCTACAGACATTTCATCTTATAGACCAAAATATGTAAGTTATTCTAGCATATAATAATTTAAAATTGTATTTTAACAATGTATGGAAATAAGTTTTATCTAAAGTACTAGAAACTCACAAACCTAAGTACATTTAAATAAATTGACTTTCTGTGAACCTATGAATTATGTTGGAAAATAAATAGACTTTTCTTGTTTGATGTAAACTAGGATATATGTAAGCAAATTGAGATGTTACTGTTGACAATGTGTAATTAATAATGTACTGTTAATTGTAGAGTTTCAAGTTACTTCATATACGACACATAATTTTTAAAAGTACGGCTAACATAGTAAAAATTATATGCAAATATTAACAGCAGGTATCCCTGGATAGGGAAATTATAATTAATTAAGCAATTTTTCCTTTTACTTCTCTTTATTTCCATTTTTTTTTTTTTCCTGAGACGGAGTCTCACTCTGTCACCCAGGCTGGAGTACACTGGAGTAATCTCAGCCCATTACAACCTCTGGCTCTCAGATTCAAGCGATCCTCCTACCTCTGCCTCCCAAGTAGCTGGGACTACAGGTACTCGCCACCATGCCTGGCTAATTTTTGTATTTTTAGTAGAGATGGGGTTTCACCATGTTGACCAGGCTTGTCCCGAACTCCTGACCTCAAGTGATCCATCCACCTTGGCCTCCCACAGTGCTGGGATTACAGGCATGAGCCACCGCACCTGGCTATTTTCTAATATTTTCTACAGAACAGAGTTATCTGAATTTAAAAAGGACCCCCAGAAATCCAAGCAATATTTATTGAGTGTTTTTCAAGGAACCTATTCACTGACTAGGTGAAAGAGTTCATACCATTTTCATTGATGCTGAGATGCCCATGTATTATATTTGTACATCTCTGATACCAGTCTGTATCTTACAATGAATGATATATCATAATTTAATTGGCAGCTTTTTTGTTTCCTCAGTGGTCCCTAACATAATGGTGCACTTTATAATCAGTGGCATTGTTGGTTCAGTGAATTCCCACAAGAATGTGTGCATGTGGTTGGTGGTGGCTGACAGGTGTTAAAGAGGCAAAACAAGCTCTCTTCCCAGAGAAGGAGTCATCACAGGCAGTGCTGATGTTTTAAGCCTCATATGCACTCCATATGTTTATGTGAAAGGAAATTTTGGGTATTAAGACTGGTGGTACTGTCTGTTTTCAGGCAGTAATCTCTTAGCTGTTATCAAGAGAATCAATTGGAAGCTATTAGAGGTCTCTTCAGTTATTCCTTTAAAAGACATGCAAATTCTTGAGCATTCTAAATCAGAAAGTTCATTGAATTTTACTGTGAGTCTTCTGGTTTAGTCTGTAGTATAAGGCAGGGTTGCACAGAGTAAGGAACATGTGTTTTCTACCCAGTTCTCTCTGTGGAACATTTGGCAAATTCTGGGGCCGGGCTCAGTGGCTCACGCCTGTCATCCCAGCACTTTGGGAGGCCGAGGTGGATGGATCACGAGGTCAGGAGTTTGAGACCAGCCTGGCCAACATGGTGAAACCCCGTTTCTACTAAAAATACAAAAAATTTCCTGGGGGAGTGGTGCATGCCTGTAATCCCAGCTACTCAGGAGGCTGAGGCAGGAGAATTGCTTGAACCAGGGAGGTGGAGGTTGCAGTGAGCCGAGATCACGCCATTGCACTCCTGTCTGGGTGACAAGAGCAAGACTGTCTCCAAAACAAAAACAAAAACAAAAAACAAAAAAATTTGGCAAATCCCTTAAGCAGTCTGGACCTTGTTTTCATCATCTAAGAAATGAAAGAATTAGCCTTGATAATTGTGAAGGGTAGTGCTTGTTACTTCCATAGTTTTATTATTTGATTTGGAGTTACGAGTGTATGTGTGTGTGTGTTTTCTCTACAGCCATACACACTGCCGCTACGGAGATGCTGGGAGGACCTGGTATCGAAAGCCAGTGTAGAAAAGTGGATATCATTGCAGATGCAGCATATTCCATTTTCCAAAAGCCCAAAAGTTTTACTGGCAACTTTGTCATTGATGAAAATATCTTAAAAGCAGAAGGAATACAAAATTTTGACATCTATGCAATTAAACCAGGTAATGCTTGTATAGTTTTTAAAAGTAACAATATGTTTTTCCATATTTTCTGCAATGAACACATCTGTTTTTTGTGTTTGTGTGATCGTAAAATGAATATGTTATTTTAAAAGCTGTCTTCCCAATGAAGGAAAAAAACCCATACCAACACAACTTAAAAAAAAAAAGATGAATAAAAAATAGAGGTGAGTTGAGGGCTTTTGAAGTGATATATATAAGCACAGAAAGTCAGATCAGCTACTAGCCACTTCCAAATCTCGAAATAAGAAATGAAAATTATTTTTTAAAGTTGGTCTTAAAATCACAGAGTAAAGATTTTGTTCAAGAATATGTGGTGACAGATGGTACAGTAGTGGGTTATTTATTTATTTGAGAAAGGGTCTCACTCTGTCACCCTGGCTGGAGTGCAGTGGCACGATCTCAGCTTACTGCAACCTCCACCTCCTAGGCTCAAGCAATCCTTCCACCGCAGCCTCTTGAGTAGCTGGGACTATAGGCATGTGCCACCACACCTGGTTAATTTTTATATTTGTAGATGTGGGATGTCACCATGTTGCCCAGGCTGGTCTTGAACTCCTGAGCTCAAGTGATCTGCCTGCCTTGGCCTCCTAAAGTGTTAGGATTACAGGTGTGAGCCACTGCACCTGGCCCAGTCATGAATTTTTTTGGTTAAAATAATTTATGATTGTGGACTCTGTAAATATTTGTCTCTTAAGTGCAGTCTCTTAGAGTAGCTTAATGACAGATGGTGTAGATGAGTGGGCTTGGTGTAGTAAAGTGATCTGAGAAGCTTCCAGAAAGCCCTCTTTTTAAGTAACTCTCTCTCTCTGAAATCGTGGATGATAATGATAATAATGGATTTTTACCATATAGAATATGATGTATTCTAATATAGCCATATATAGAAGTAAATTTCATTTATGGTAAAGTATATTTTAAATATTATTCATTAAGCTGAGCTTCTAAATGACACAAACCATGTTTATATTTGTATCATCCCTGCTCATCTCTGCAGTTCCAACTGAATTAAATAGCAGATTATAGTTTTATAAAGCACTCTTATATGCATTATCTATTTAGCCTGCATAACAATTCTGTAAGGGAAGTAATGCTTAGTGATTAAGAACATGGAATTTGGGAGAAGACAAGCTAGGTTCATATTGCAGCTCTGCTGCTCACTGCTATGCAGCTTTGAGCGTGTCACCCAGTTTGTCTGTCTCAGCCTTAATGTCTATATTGGTAAACTTAAGAGAACGATACATTTCATACAAGATTTTTGTAAAGACTAAATGTGATAACGTATGTTTTTGGCACAGTGCCCAGCATATAGTACACTCAGAATATTTAGTAGTTAATATTTACAAGTGGAAAAACAGGCTCAGAGAGATTGAGCCTTTGCCTAAGAGCAGATGGCTAATAGGCGGCAGAACCTGACTAGATTCGGGTCTTCTGGGTCCTGGTACCCAGGAATATAATTATTACTTTAGGTTTTAAAGACACAGTGTAATTGTGCACAAGTTTTAAAATTTTATTTAAATTAAAAATCCTATCAAGTATTGAGAACTTAGTATGACCAGATACTATGATATTAGGATACAACAAAGATGAATTCATTCCTGCCCTCCAGAAGTTTGCTTAAACTTCTGAAAAAGAGAGAGAGAGACAGGAGACTGAGGCAGGAGGCTCATTTGAGCCCAGAAGTTTGAGACCAGCCTGGGCAAAACAGCAAGACCCCATCTCAAAAAAAAAAAAAAAAAAAGAAAAAAGAAAAGAAAAAAAAGGAAAAGAAAGAAAGGAAAAGAAAAAGAGAGCAATTGAGATTGTTAACATCTCACTGTACTATAGTTTTGAAGGCTTTGTGGCCTTTAAATCTTCTAGTGTGCACGTGTCTTGGAGTTATCAGTGTAATTAAAACAGTTAGCCTATTTGCTAACCACAACCTTTAGCTGAAAATAAGACCCAGTGGAGGCTGTGTGCAGTGGCTCACACCTGTAATCCCAGCGCTTTGGGAGGCCAAGGCCGGCAGATCACTTGAGCCAAAGAGTTCAAGACCATACTGGGCAACATGGCAAAACCCTCTGTCTACAAAAAATAAAAATGAGTGGTCGGGTGCGGTGGCTCATGCCCATAATCCCAGCACATTGGGAGACCAAGGTGGGTGGATATCTTGAGGTCAGGAGTTCGAGACCAGCCTGACCAATATGGTGAAACTGTCTCTACTAAAAATACGAAAATTAGCCAGGCCTGGTGGTGGGCACCTGTAATCCCAGCTACTTGGGAGGCTGAGGCAGGAGGATTGCTTGAACCTGGGAGGCAGAGAGTGCAATGAGCCGAGATTGTGCCACTGTACTCAAGCCTGGGTGACAGAGCGAGACTCCATCTCAATAAATAAATAAATAAATAAATATTAGCTGGATATGGTGGCTTGCACCTGTGGTCCCAGTTACTTGGGAGGCTGAGGGAGGAGGATCACTTGATCCCACGAGGTGGAGGTTGCAGTGAGCTGAGATCGTGCCACTGCACTCCAGCCTGGGTGACAGTGAGACCCTGTGTCAATAATAATAATAATAACCCAGTGGAATGGATGGAATAGGATAGCTTAGTTTTCATGATGATGGAGTGAGAGGAAGAGGGAGAGAGAGAAGAGACCCAAATGCACTAATGCTGAGAAGAAAGTCCTTCTTAAGAAGGGGCCCTCTGCTCTTAGGAGGGCAGGTAAGAAATGAGTCCTGAGCACTTTGGAAGAATGTGGGCCAGAAGAGCAGTGTAGGATGAGAAGGGCAAAGGTTCCTGGGAGAGCAGGTAAAGGCTTTACAGAACAGGTGATCTTTTGGGGATTAAATCTTGAAGATAAAATTTATCAGAGGAGAGGAGGATAACTGAATTATGAGAAAATTAATTGAATGAAGATCAGGTCATTCGACAGTTCTCATGGAGGCCTTTTCTGTTGCACCAGAATGATTTTTAATGAAACAGATATGTTTACTAAACAGATGTTAAAATCTTACTATGTTGTAGTTACATTAACCTAATGGTTTGGGGTCAATTTTTCAGGTCATCCTTTGCAACCAGATTTCTTCTTAGATGAATACCCAGAAGCATTTAGTAAGAAAATGGAATCAACTGGTAAGATCTAGACTATATTTTATGTTAGAAAATATAAATCCTAACTTACATATTTCTTCCAAAATATGGAATTGATCCTGTAACAGTGACATTTCTGCCTTCTGTTTTTAAACTATTTTGTAATTTAAAGTAAACAAGTAATGTGAGCTCTCAGTTAATTCTAGTAAAGAAGGTTATTTTGTTCATCTACCACTAAGAAGTTTTAATAAGGCTGGGCACAATGGCTCATACCTGTAATCCCAGCACTTTTGAGGCGAATGGATCACTTGAGTCCAGGAGTTTGCGACAAGCTTGGGCAACATGGCAAAACCCCATGTCTACAAAAAAATAAACTGGGCGTGGTGGCACGAGACTGTAGTCCCAGCTACTCAGGAGGCTGAGGTGGGAGGATCACCTGAGCCTGGGAAGTTGAAGCTTCAGTGAGCCATGATCGTGCCACTGCACTCTAGCCTGGGTGACAGAGCAAGACCCTGTCTCAAAAAAAAAAAAAAAAAAGGAAGGAGTTATTAATATATTCTTTGCATTTGGTCAAAAAAAGGTCTGAAAAAACTTTTTTTTCAGGTTTTATTTATTTTCTTTTGCACTGTCTTTAGGTATTTCATGTTGATATGTTATTTTGAGGAAAAGTGTGTCATATATCAAATACATCTAACACCATTTCCACAGTTTGTGTTATGTGATGATTTTATGGAAGAAATCAACTTCAGAGGAGGTTCGGGTTTTACTTTGTTTTGTTTCTGTAATTCAGAAACAACAGTGCCCTTGAATTGGTCCAGAGTTTACATTTTAGACTTTGTGTTCTGACATTTTGCCAGTGGCTCACTTAAAGAAGAAACACTTTAATGAATACCTGTGGGAAAAATTTCTCTCCTGGCTTACTAATAAGAATGGCTATGCTTCTTATGGGCCCTTACCTTATTTTTATCTTACAGATGCTGTGATGCTCATCGATTTTGTTTTTTTTTTTTTAGAAGTCTGATAGAAAATGTAGGGATGAATTTCCTTGATACCGTTAGCAAATCTGTGGCACCTTACTGCAGTGCATTTTAGTGCCAAACCTTATTTCCAGCTTTCCTTTATTTATTCTTTATTATTTATCTTTTCTTTTTCCAAATTTTTGTGGTAATTAAAAAAAATTACTTAGGTAATAAAAAGGACTTTTTTGTATTATAGACAATTTAAAACAATAGAAAGGAAAATAGTTACTCATAATCCTACTACCCAGAGTATTAAAACCAGGAAAAACAAGATTCTCAGTCTTTTTCTCAAAAGGCCTCTTAGAGAATGGTGGAAAATTATCAAAGTCTGGAAGAGTCTGGTCTTCAAGTTAGTTAAGTCCAAAACTCTGATTTTTGCCCAGCGCCCTAAGGTTGGATCTGTCTTTTAGAAGAAGGCATGCATGAACTGAGCTCATTTAAATTCCAAATTTTAAATAATAACCATTTATTGATCAAGTATATTCATTTTGTTTATTCAACAACTATTTACTGGACACCTACTATGTGCCAAACACTGTGCTAAGTACTTTGCATGCATTGTCCTGTTTAACACTATTAATCCCCAAGACAGATACTACCCTCATTTTATAGCTGCGATTGCACAGCCAGCAGGTGGCAGAACTAAGATTTAAACTTGTATTTCTGTGATTCCAAAGCCCATGTCTTTAACCAGTAAACTTAAATGGCTTTCCTAACACTTGAATATTTAGTCTTATAAATTTAAGCATATTCTTAGTCTGGGCAACATGGTGAGACCCCATCTCTACAAAAAATAAAAAAAATTAGCTGGGCATGGTAGCACATGCCTGTAGTCTCAGCTACTCAGGAGACTGAAGCAGGAGGATCCCTTGAGCTCAAGAGTTTGAGGCTGCAGTGAGCTATGATTGAGCTACAGCACTCCAGCCTGGGCAACAGAGCAAGACCCTGTCTCAAATAAATACATAAATTAGCACATTCTTTCCCGTGATAATCCAATTTATTAATTTATAACAAGGAGTTGCCATCTCATAGGTTAAACATGTAGGTGCTTGATCAGCACATACTCTTCCTTTGGATATAATTACACATGAAACAGAATCATAGTCAGAAGGTCATTTAATGACCATGGAATCAGAACAAGGGGGTTAGACAGGTAGAGTGTAAAATCAGTGTTTACTGGCATCAGGCTTTGATAGGGATAACTTTGCTTATAGCCATCTCCACAGAAGCAATGCTCTCACCCTTAAGGTCAGAAGACTCAAATTCCTTTGGCTAACTTCCCCCACCTAATGCTGCGGGAGCATTTACTTCTGTAGTTCTCTTTTTTTGATTCCGTGTGGTTCAGTCGATAGCAATTTTACTTGACCTTTTCTGTAGGTATATCATTATAGTCATATGGATAGTAGCCTGGGCTATAAGTTACCTCTTTCAGTTTATTTCTTATGTCCTCTCATAGTTCAGCTCTCTGAGAACCATGGTGTATCCCTTGTTTCCAAAGGGGGAGAGGTTCACCCTTCTGTTGCACCCACAACTTATAATAACCCGTTACCATTTCATTATACCTTTTCCAGTATTTGTCCTGTGTATGTTAGCTCTTATATATGTAATTATTGTAAACAGTGTACATAGTTTTAAATTGATTTTTTCTTTCTTCCTATCTTAAAAGCAATATCAACCAGGCATAGTGGCTCATGCCTGTAGTCCCAGCACTTTGGGAGGCTGAGGTGGGAGCATTGCTTGAGCCCAGGAGTTCAAAAGTAGTCTGGGCAACATGGCGAAACCTTGTCTCTACAAAAAGTACAAAAATTAGCTGGGTGTGATGGTGCATGCCTGTAGTCCCAGCGACTTGGGAGGCTGAGGTGGGAGGATCACTTGAGTTCAGGAGTTTGAGGTTGCAGTGAGCTATGATCAAGCCAGTGAACTCCAGCCTGTGTGAGAGAGTGAGACCCTGTCTCAAAAAACAAACAAACAAAAAACACAATACCATTATTTCTTCATTGATTCCCCCCACCCCTACTCTCCACTGGAACACAGGGAGCCCACTCAGTCTTTTTTGTTTTTTTGACTTTCAGCTTATTCTTATTTTTATTTTTCATTTGTTTTATTTTTTTATTATTATTACTTTTTAGACAGAGTCTCGCTCTGTGGCCCAGGCTGGAGTGCAGTGGCCGGATCTCAGCTCACTGCAAGCTCCGCCTCCCGGGTTTACGCCATTCTCCTGCCTCAGCCTCCCGAGTAGCTGGGACTACAGGTGCCCGCCACCTCGCCCGGCTAGTTTTTTGTACTTTTTAGTAGAGACGGGGTGTCACCGTGTTAGCCAGGATGGTCTCGATCTCCTGACCTTGTGATCCGCCCGTCTCGGCCTCCCAAAGTGCTAGGATTACAGGCTTGAGCCACTGCGCCCGGCCTTCATTTGTTTTAGAGACTGGGTCTCACCCTATCGCCCAAGCTGGAGTGCAGTGGCTCGATCATAGCCCACTGCAGCCCTCAAAGTCCTGGACTTAAACAATCCTCTCACCTCAGCCTCCCCAATAGCTGGAACTAGAGGTGCATGCCACCACGCCCAGCTAAGTTTTAAATTTTTTGTAAAGAGGGGATCTTATTATATTGCCCAGGCTGGTCTCAAACTCCTGGCCTCAAACAATCATCCTGCCTCGGCCTCCCAACGTGCTGGGATTACAGGCATGAGCTATGGCACTGGGCCTATTTTCCTTCAGTTGCAGTTTTAATTGCTTCTGTTCCATTTGTTCTTGATTCTCAGAAACACTTATTCCTACCCTGGCTCCCCTTACCCTTTCCCTGTAGTTAGCACCACTTCTCATTGGTTCCGGCTTTCTCTTCTGTATTCTGGAGACCTTTTAAAGTTTGTCCTCTGTATTAAAAAGGACAGTCTGATAAGATGTTCTATAGCTTAGTTTCTCTTCCATATTGTCTCAAATGGTTATTTTAATTTGCTATGGTGCTTACATTTCTCTCACTTCCGCTCTCATTTTATCCTATTGTCTTTTCATCTCAGCCAGTTATATATATCTTTCTGTCCCTGTTTCATATAGTTTTTTTTTAAGGCTTTATTTATTTATTTTTCTGAGAGAGTCTCTCTCTGTTGCCCACGCTGGAGTGCAGTGGCATGATCTTGGCTCACTGCAACCTCCACCTCCCAGTTTCAAGCAATTCTCCTCCCTCAGCCTTGCTAGTAACTGGGATTACATGGGTGTGCCACCACGCCTGGCTAATTTTGTATTTTTAGTAGAGATGGGGTTTCGCCACATTGGCCAGGCTGGTCTCAAACTTCTGACCTCAGGTGATCTGCCCACCTTGGCCTCCCAAAGTGCTGGGATTACAGGCATGAGCCACTGTGCCTGGCCAAAGCTTTATTTTTTCGAGAGCAGTTTTAGATTCAGAGCAAAACTGAGAGGAAGGTATAGAAATATCCCATATACCCGCCTGCCCCCACACATGCATAACCTCCTTCCTTAGCAGCATCCTCTACCAGAGTGGCACATTTGTCACAACTGATGAATCTGTATTGACACATCATAATGATATAGTTTCCATGTGGAATAATTCTTGGAAGTTAGTTTTAGATCTTGCTCTTCAGAGTAGCCTCCATTGCCTTGTGGCATATTATTTTTTTCATAGGCATCAGGTTATTTTTTTTCCATTAATTCTTCCTCATAGTAGGAGGTATCTCTAGAGCTAGTGTAGTCAAAGGCAGGAATGTGTAGGTTGCTTTTGGCTCCACTCCCTGTCCATATGGAGGAATTCCTTTTTCTGAGCTGTAGTTTCAAATGTAGCACCTGTTGGGCAAATAGCTCAGGCCAGTGTGCAAGGCTGACATGTGACCTTCCTTTACTTCCTCTGTTTCAAACTACTCTCCAGGCCTGGCTCAGTGGCTAAAGCCTATAATCCCAGCACTTTGGGAGGCTGTGGTGGGAGGATCGCCTGAGGCCAGGAGTTCTAGATGAGCCTGAGCAATATAGCAATAGCAAGATCCCATTTTACAAAAAACTTTTAACAATAGCC